GGAAGCTAGGAGTCCAAGACCAAGGTATCATCAGTTCTGGTTCCTTCTGAGGACACTCTCCTTGGCCTGCAGATGGCTACCTTCTCACTGTGTCCTCGCCTGGCCATCCCTTTATGTGTGTGCCTACTGTCTCTTTGTATGTTCAATTCCCTTTTTTTTTAAGACTTACTTTTAGAGCACTTTTAGGTTCACAAAATTGAGAGGAAGTTAGAAATTTCCCTTATACCCTGCCCCCACACATGTATGGCCTCCCCCACTATCAACATCCCCCACCAGAGCGGTATATTTGTGACAACTGATGAATCTACATTAATACACTGTAATCAACCAAAGTTCATAGTTTACATTATGGTTCACTTTTGGTGTGCACATACTGTGCATTTGGACAAATGTATAATGACATGTATCCATCATTATGGGATCATACAGAGTATGTTCACTTCCCTAAAATTGTCTGTGCTCCCCCTGTTTATCCCTTCCACCTCTTCACAAACCCCTGCCAATTACTGATCATTTTGCTCTCTCTACAATTTTGCCTTTTTCAGAATGCTGACAATTGGAGTCTTACAGTTTGTAGTCTTTAAAGATTGGCTTCTTTCATTTAGTAACATGCATTTAAGGTTCCTCCATGTCTTGCCATGGCTGATAGTTCATTACCTTCTAGTGCTGAATAATATTTCATTGTGTGCATTTACCACTGTTTGTTTATCTATTCACCTACTGAAGGACATCTTGGTTGTTTTGGTGATCATGAATACAGCTGCTAGAAATCCATTTGCAGACAAAAGCATGGACATAAGTTTTCAACTCCTTTGGATTAATAACAAGGAGCACAATTGCTACATCATATGGTAGGAGTATGTTGTTTTGTAAGAAACCACCAAACTCTTCCAGTGACCTCAGCATTTTATATTCTTATCCAGTGACAAATGAGACCATTCATTGTTCTACATCCTTCCTAGTATTTGGTGTTGTCAGTGTTATAAAAGTTGGCCTTCAAATAGGTATATAGTGGTATTTCATGGTTGTTTTATTTTGCATTTCTCTGATGTCCTATGAGGTGGAGCATCTTTTCATATACTTCCTTGTCATTTTATCTTCTTTGGTAAAGTGTCTGTTAAGATGTTTGGCCCATTTTTAAATAAGGTTGTTTGTTTTCTTTTTGTTAAGCTTTTAGAGTTCTGTGTATGTTTTGGATAACAGTCCTTTATCAGATGTGTCTTTTGCAAGTACTTTCTCCCAGTCTGTGGCTTATCTTCTCATTCTATTGATATTGTCTTTTATGTAGAGCAGTTTTAAATTTTACTTGACTCCAGTTTATTATTTCTTTCATAGATTGTGCCTTTGGTGTTATCTGATGTTTTTATATATCATATTTTCATTTTTATTCCTTTAAATTCTTTTTCTAATTCTCCTTGTGATTTCTTTTTTGACTTATGGATTATTTAATTTCCAAAAGTTTATGGATTTTTCAAATTTCTTTCTGTTGTTGAATGCTAATTTAATTTTGTTGTGGTCAGAACATATATATTATATGATTTAATCCTTTTAAATTTATGAGATTTGCATAGACATTGAGAAGTGACTGATGTTTTCCACTGGGAAGGGGGATAAAGGGACACAAAAATTCTCAATCATAATATAAGTTGGTCATGGGGATGGTAGTACACATTGAGAATATAACCATTAAATCTGCAACATCTTCCTATGCTAACAGATAGCAACTGCACCAGTTGGGGTGAGGATTTAATAATGTGAGTACTGTTGAACCACTGTGTTGTATACTTGAAGCCAATATAAGATTGCATATCAACTATACTTCAATTTTTAAAAATTTAACAAAAATAAATAAATATGTGAGATTTGTATTATAGCCTAGCAGATAGGTCTAGCCTAAAGGGAATTCTGTGTGTCCTAGAAAAGAATGTGTATCCTGCTATTATTGGATGGAGTGCTCCGTAGATTTGATCAGGTCAAGTTTGATGATACTCAAGTTTTCTGTATCTTTGTTGATTTTCTGTCTAGATTTCCTTTCCATTATTGAGAATTTGGGATTGAAGTCTCTTTCTATTGTTGAATTTTCTATTTTCCTTTCCAAGGTTGTCAATTTTGTTACATGAATTTTGGTGTTCTGTTCTTGGCATGTATATGTTTATAATTGTTATATTTTTCTTGTAAATGGATCCTTTTATTATTACAAAATGTCCCATACTGATTATCTCTAGTAAATTTTTTGTCTTTAAGTCTATTTTTTCTGGTACTAGTACAGTCACTCCTACTGTCCTATGGTTACCATTTGCATGGTGTATCTTCTTTCATCCTTTTATTTTCAATCTATTTGTGTCTGACTTCAAAGTGCATCTCTTCAGTGGGAGCCTATATTTTTATTCAGCCTAATGGCTTCTGCTTTTAATGAGTGTTTAATCCATTTACATTTACTGTAACTATTGATATAGTTGAATTTAAATCTGCTCTCTTGCTGTTTTCCATTTATTTCATTTTTTTTGTTCCTCTGTTTTTCCTTTACTACCTTTTTGTGCAAGAGATATTGTCTAATGTACCATTTTAACTGTTTTGTTTTGCTTTAGTTATTTACTTAGTAGTTTCTTATCTTAATACATCTTAAATCATTTGAATCTACTTAGCATAGTACAACAATTCCAGTTAAATATAAAATTTGCTACATTAGAGCTCTATTTTCTCCTCCTTTGTGCCATTGTTATTCCAAGTATTACATCTTTATATGTTATAAGCCCCAAATACAGTTTTATAGTTTCTGTTTTATGCAACTGTCACTCAAATTAGTTGAGAAGAGTAATGAATATTTTCAACTGTCTTTTATATTTACCTGTGTAATTACATTTACTGGTGTTCTCTATTTTTTTGTGTGGTTTTGAGTTACCATGTGGTGTCATTTCCTTTCAGCCTGAAAGGCTTCCATTCTTATTTCCTGTAAGGCAGACTTTTTCTCACAGTGAATTCTGACCTTTGTTTTTCTGGAAAGATCAAAATGTTGCTTTCAACTTTGAGGGACAGATTGCTTCATATAGAATTCTTGGCTGGCATTCTTTTTTCTTTCAGCATTTTGAATATGTCATCCTACTGTCTTCTGGCCTCCTTTATCTGGTAAAAATTCAGCTGTTAATTCCATTGTGTTCCTCTATACGTGAAGAGTCATTCCAATTACAAGATTTCCATTTGATCATTTTTTATAACTTCCATCTCTGTATTTATATTTGACTAGTCAATAAAGTCACACCTTCCTTTAATCTTTTTATTGATCCCTTTAGTTCTTTGAACATACTTATAATAGCGGTTTTGAAAGCCTCATCCACTAAGTCTAAAATTTGGGCCCCATCAGAGAAGGTTTCTATTGACTGCTTTTGTTTCTTGTTTTGGGGTCATACTTTCCTATTTCTTTGCACATTATGATTTTCTCTGTTGTTGAAAACTGTGAGTTTTAGATAATGTGTTGGAGCAACCGTGGATTCTGAATCCTCCATTCCAGGTTGTTCTTGTTGTTTCTTGTTTGTTTGTTTCATTAGTGACCTACCTATGCTAATTCTACAAAGTCTGTCTCCCTTGCATCATGTAGCTGCTGATATCTCTTAAGTGTTTTATTTTTAATCATTTTTTGTTTTTAAGGCCAGCTTCCTAAGGGTTACCTCTGAGTCAGCATAGCTTAATGCTGAGAGAGTGATTGATCAGAGGTTGTGCTTACCCTGAGCCAATTTTGCCAGTGGGTCTGTGTGTGGGTTGGGAAACACATTCAAAATGTAAGCAGTGTACAAGTCTGACTGGCTTTTACTTTCTGACATGCCTCCTCATGTCTCCTTTATGAGTGTGCTGGGTTTCACTTTCATCTGGGAATGCATGGATAGCTAATGCCCTCTCCAGTCTCTCCTGAGCATACACAGCTTTCCAGACTACAGGGTATGTGTGAGCTTATCAAGGCCCACTGTGGCTGTTTTTCTCCCCAGATCTCCCTGTTAAATTTCTTGCAAGTGTCCTGGTCTATTTCTGGTCCTTACCAGTATCAGACCTCAAGGTGGAGATGTTAGCCTCCCTGGGGTACGTGCTTCATTCCAAATCAAGTTAGCACCCCCAGCAGTGGAGCTGCTGGGTTTTAGGACTTTCCTTGCCCTTTTAGAACTACCAACTTAACAGAAACTGGGAGAGGGTATTTTTCTCTAAATTATTTCACTCAGCCACTTTGAATTGAACATTAAGGTTTTTCTGACTTTTTGGTACACTGACCATCCTTATGAAGTTTTCATTTCTTGCCACTTGTTTTAGTTTCCTAGACCTGTCATAACAAATTGCCATAAGCTCAATGGTATAAAACAACAGAAATTTATTCTCTCATAGTTCAGGAGACCAGAAGTCCAAAATCAAAACTTGCCAGGGTTGACTGCTTCTGGGGCTCTGAGGGAGAATCTATTCCATGCCTCTGTCTTAGCTTCTGGTAGCTGCCAACAACCCTTGGCAGAGCAACATCCTACCAGTGCCTGTACCCATGAACACTCGGCTTTCTTCCCAGTGTGTCTGTGTGCCCGAATCTCCCATTCCTTTCTTTTATAAAGATACCAGTCATTGGGTTTAGGGTACAATGTAATTTCATGTTGCCTTATCTTAACTATGTCTTCAAAGATCCTATTTCCAAAGAAGGTTACATCCTAAAATTCAAAATGGATATGAATTTGGGGGGGAACCTCTTCAACCCAGTATACCATTCATTATAAAGTATCACCTGAAAATCAGTATGGTCTCTTTGTTGTGGATCCTGCCATCTTTTGTGAAGATGAGTTTGAAAATGAAAACAATGGTAAGAAAGCACTTGACCTTTTTTGTTGGGTTGGTTCCTCCAGTTAAGCTAGCTTATATCCTCTTTTTGGCTTTTTTATTCACATTGTTAAGAAAAAGGCAGATCTGTGGACAGGAAAGGAGTTGCAGAGCCTCACCCTTCTCAACTCTGATTTGTGCGTCTGTTTTTAATCTAGAGCCGAATAACTATCGGACCATGCATGGCCGGGCAGTAAACGGCAGCCAGTTGGGAAAGGATTACATCCAGCTGAAGAGTCTATTGCAGCCCATCCGGATTTACTCCAGAGCCAGCTTGTATGGGCCTAATATTGGGCGGCCCAGGAAAAACGTCATCGCTCTCCTTGATGGGTAGGTCCGATTATTTAGCAGTTGTTCAACATTGTTCATTAAATGTAATAAATTAATGTATTTGTACTTTTCCTGGTTATTTCCAGTCGTAAGAAGGATGCAGAGACTTTTTCTGTAGTCACTTTCCCCACTCTAAGTCAGGGTTTCCCCACTTTAAACCAGGGATTCCCTGCTTTAAATCTGCATCAAACAGTGGAAGAACTCATCTCTCCAGGCCTTACACAGTCAGCAGAAGGTGGTGAGACGGGAGGAATATCACAGTCTCCAGGGCAGGTTGGAAAGGATACAATGTTTCAAGTAGCACATGTAATATTATAGCATTTCATAGCATCATTTTATATTTTTTGAAAAGCAAAATATTATCTGCTCTATTCTTGTGACCTCTTACAGAAAGTAAAATCCTGGTCAGTGGAGCTGGGTTAACAAGTTGAGAAACACTACAAATACTTGCAGATGAAAGCACAACTTAACAAATAGAATTAGTAGTGGGTATTCTGGAAATTGCTATAAAGTGACTTATTTAATTTTAAGCATTGGTTATGAACGCTTACTATGTTAAATGCTCTCCACCCCAGTCCTGCTGCAGGCCCAGATTGTGTAAGTGGGACGTCTGTGCAGGCTGGGTCCTTTTATTCAGGGTCAGTGGGAATGTCTGAGGAAATGGAATGAGAAAGGCTGAAATGTATGTTGAGTCCAAGACCCAAAGTGGAGCTGTAACTGGAGCAGGAAGGGTGGGAACAATGAAGATGGGACAGTCTAGAGTTTTTCTGAAACACAGAGTATGCAACAAGGCACGGGTTTTATGTGGCGTCTGGTCATACTCTGGGATAGTATGGTTATTCCTGCAAATTCAAAGCTGAGTAAGGCCTTTTCCAGAGAAGTGCACAGCCCAAGTGAAGTTAATAAATGCTACACGAGTATGAACAGAGGTATCTAAGGAGAGAGAAACGTTTGGCCAGCCCCCTCCAGTGGCCCCTGTGGCTCCTTGGCCCCAATGGCTCTCTCCTCCAGGTTGTGGTGGCTTAGATTAGATCAAAGCTAATGAACACAGCAGACATGACTGAAGGTTTGGGAAACAGATGGATTTGCATTGTAAGAACATTAACAACCTGAAATTTAATTTTAGGTATTTTCCTCTTTACAAAGAATCCCCAAGCCCTTTCTTCAGCTCCTGTCCTGTCCCCACCCTCCCTTTTTCTCTCAGGAGCACAATTCAATGACCTCAGATCCTACCTGCAAATGTAGTTCCCAGCTTCCCTTTGTATGCTTTCTCTGAACTTTCAAAGTGCATTCTGAGAAAGAGAGAGAGAGAGAGAAAGAGAGAGAGGAGAGAGAGAGAGAGAGGTCAGTTTTGTTTTACGTGATATAATTAGGGAGTAAGAATCACCTGTGTAGAACTTTATTCACAGTTCATAATACATAATCCAGTGAAGCAAGTAACTCTATGATTTAAGTCCACATAATTACTCTTTGGGATTATCCTTTCTCTTTAATGATTTAATTATGTATTCTCATGGGACTGACAATATCCTCTTAGTAGCATGACCCTGATTCAATCATTCATTCATTCTGAAAATTCATTCATTCATTCTGCAAATATTCCAGGTACTATGTTACGAACTGTGAATGTAATAATAAACACAGATACTTGCTCTGCCTTCGTGGTGTATATAATATGGTAGGGGAGACATAAACATTAATCAACTGATCTTAAAACTAAGATAATACCAAGGAGAGGTACATGATGCTATTAATGACCAAAAGGGTTGGTATTTGACTGAATTAGGAGGTCATGGAGTCCACTTCCTCATACATCCAAAAACAATTAGGACTCAAGAGAGTAGAGAACACAACTTAGTGCTAGGGAAGGTACTGATGAGCACAGTTTTTCCTTTTAAGTCCCAGAAAAAAAAAAATGGAGATCTATCTTTCTTAATGTATATGTACTAAATATACAGTGAAATATAACTTGAAACACATAAACATTCCCAGCAACTCAACCAACAATAACAAAAATGTCAGCACTCTATATTACCAGCTCCATAGTCTTTTGCAACCCTCCTGGTTATACAGATATGATTTTACATAGTTGTGATTATTGTATATGCATCATTTTAAGTTCTGTGTTTTTTATTCATTGCTTTATATTGCTCTTTCATTATTTATACATAGTTCTCATATTTGTCACTCTTAATAGCAATAAAATATTCCATTACATTAATATACTGAAGTCTGCCTAAATGTTCTCTCATTTTGGGGCATTTGGACTGTTTCCACGTTTTGTCTGTAAAATATAGCACAGCTATAAACATCTTTATACAAATAGCTTGTTTTATTTCTTTAGAATTACATCCTTGGGCTATATTCCAAAAAGTTGGGTTTCTGGGTCAAAGTTTATGATAGTTTTTATGGCTTTTATATTTGTTGCCAAATTTCCTTTCAGAACAATTTCACCAGGTTGCAGGGCAACAAAGTATTGTGTATCTTTCCCCTCCAAACTCCCTAGCATGAGTATTATCATTTTTATTCATTTACTCTATTTTAAGTAATGCAAGATCATGCCTCATGGTTGTTTAAATTTGAATTCCTTTAACTACGAAAAGAACTGAAAATTTTCCAAATCATTATGCTGTGTCCTTTCCCCATCCCAGGTTTGGTCAGTGATGCAATGACCATGTTGCGTGAGGTGAGATCAGGAGGCCGTTATAGCTTAATTCCTCCCCTTTGTTCATGCTCTCCGCTAGTCATTATGTTCTGTTATTTCTGACTAGTGACTATCACTCATATCTTATCTTCTTTTCATCTTTATTTTAAACCTTATCATTTTCCCCACTAAATGACTTCTCTGTATTTAGCCTCAGAGTCTAATCATTTCTTCATATACATTTCTGAGTAGTTTTAAAAAAATACAGTATGTAGTCAAGTCACTCACTCTTGCTTGAAATCCAAGCCCTTTCACATGCATCCTTGTTTGTTAGGGTCCAGTGCATCCCTCACCTTGCAGCTAGTAAACAGCTATACCCCCTTGTACAAGCTGCCCCTTAGCTACATCAAAGTTTGTGTGAATTTTGGAAGATGTCATACACATTTTTACCTTTGCACCTTTTTAGTTTGTGTCACTTTCTTTGGGATACCACCCACTCCCCTCACTTTTCCTCTTTTCAACAGATCTTCTTTGACATCTATAGGCAGGATTTCTTATCATCTCTTCTGTCCTTGAATGGCACGTTAAAGTGTTTTCTGTTATAGTACTTGTCAAATTTACAATAATGTACTTATTTACATATCTGCCTTCCCTAATAGACTGTGGGCTAGGATCAAGACTTGGTTTGTTTTATTCATTCTGTAATCTCAGAACCTAGGAAAACAGTAGGTGTCTTCCAGGTGATTGTTGAATGAATACTCTTTTATTCAACAACTGACTCTAAATTCATCTGATTTGAATAGGAGCAGGGGGAATGGGCAAAATAGGTGAAGGGGAAAAATTAGTGAGAATATTTGATATCTTGATCTGGGCAGTGGTTTACATGAGTGTACACATGTCAGAATTCATCAAGCTGTACACTAAGATTCATGCATTTTATTGTATGTACCTCAATATTAAAAAATTTTTAAGAAAAAAATTCATCTCATTGTAAAACAGTATGATAAATGTATTTGGGAACTATTGTAAATCATATACTTAGTGATTTAAGTAAATTATGGTGATTTATATAAATCATAATGATTGGCTTCAGTGTTAGAGAGCCAAACCAATTTATAAGCTTTTTTTTTTTACTTTGTGTAAGAAGATAGTTGGATTATCTTCCCAGTTAGGATATGAACTCCACTAGGAAAGAAAAGAATCTTCATATTTGTATCTTCAGGAACTAGTGTGTTGCTAGAATATGGGAAGTACTTAATAAAATGCTTGTTTTATTATTTTCATTTCCTCATTTGGGGATCAGCTATTCCCTAGTCATTGATTTTTATCTGAAGGTATGAAGAATTGTTCTTTAGGATTGTATCAGTTTTCTCTGTTTTTATTTTGTAAACTTCTATGCATCATCTCTGTAATGACAACTTCATCTTAATCTCTTGCTTTTCTTATTTTGAAACATGTTTTTATTGTTTCTGAAACTTATTTTTATTATAATTGTTCTTATCTACTTTGTTGTTGATAGTCTTTCTGTTTCTTTCCTTACACAGTTAGGATAAAGTTATTGTTTCATTTTCCTCTAGACTTTTTTTCAATGTTTCATTTTTTAATGTTAGGGTATTCTGACTTATTTGGAATTTATTGCTGTCTGCTACAGAGAAAGGACCTACTCTATTTTTTGGTGATACAGTCATATCAAGAAAATCAATATTCATTAAAAGCTTGTTTCCTGAGGCTCCTTTTGAAGCTTTGAAGCCATAATTAGATGAGTAAATTCCCTCTCAATAAGTATTTATTGAACACTTACTTTATGTTTGATCCTTGCTACAGTTCTGGGTAAATGTTGATGAATAAAGCCGAAGTGATTCTTAACTCTCTTGAAGCTGAGCAAAAGAGAGTCACAGTATATAAGAAAACAAGTAAATTATTAGAAATTGTATGCAATTCTGTAAGGAAAATGATCAGGATGCCTGGGGTTAAGGGATCTATTTGGACTAGGTGATCAGAAACTTATCTGAGGAACATTTATTTAAGCCAAGAACAAAAGAATGAGAAAGAGCAACTGTTCAAAGAGTGGAAGGAAGAAAGTTCTAGGTAGAAGTTCTAGATCATGTTTATCAGTGTCCTAAATCAGAAACAAGGTTAAGGTATTTGAGAAATAGAAAGGTGGGTGGTATAGTGGTGGGAGATGAGAATGCATAGACAGACAAGGACCAGATCATTACTGGACGATATATACCATAGTAAAGAGGTTGTGTATTTTGTTCTATGAGTGATGGAAAGCCATTACAGGGTTTTTGTAAGGGCAATGACATGTACTACAGTCTATCTACTCTATTCTGTGGGCCAAATAGATATCAAG